CACACACACACTCTCTCTCTCTCTCTCTCTCTCTCTCTCTCTCTCTCTCTCTCTCTCTGTCGTAAATGAACAGTTGATGAATCACACTTTTCTGAGAATAGACTTGAAGTATAGATAGCTAAACTCTGTTTTGGGGATTACGTCTCTTTATATCAGGTAACCCCGTTGTGTTCCTCTGTGGCCAGATTATTAACAGATGCTCTATTCATTCTTTTTTAGAAACCTCGCAATTTTCTACAAAATTTTAAACGTTGTAAAATTAAGCGTGGTCCACTGCTGCACACGTGCCACAGTATCGATACAGGGCCAGCTGTATCGATACTCGTATCGTCAAATCTGTGTGACGATACATCGTCGTACCGATATTTTGAACACAGCACTAGTATTTATTAATATTTTAGTTTTTTAGTTTGTCATTTTAGTACTTTCAACTTACTCATTTTGTTTCAGTTATTCACCAAAACAAAATTTCTTTTTTTTCCCTATCATTTGTAAGTGTTTTTTTTATTATTATTATTTATTATAATTTATGTTTACATTTTTATTTCAGCTTTATTTCAGTTAACGAAAACTATATTTAATCGTTTTTAACTTTAGGTTTAGTTAACAATAACAACACAGACATATACTTTAGTACTGGAACAAAACTGAGAAATAGCAGTTAAAATAATATTAATAAGAATAATAAAATCAAGGAATTGATTTGTGTGAATCTTAAGATGTTCTGCAACCTCAGAAGCATTCACCTGTGTTTGGGTTCATTGCCTTTCACTCGGTGTGGGTCAGATACAAAATAATGCATCATATTTATTAGAAATTAGTATTCACATTTAGACAGAAAATCTCACTGTGATCAGTGCTATTCCACTGTATGTGGAGGTTTGTATTAGTTCCTCACAAAAATAATTTTTTCTCTCTGTCTTACCACAGGTTGTGGAAATCAAGCTGCGTTTTGAGATCTATGACAAACGACAAAAAGTTCTTAGCTTGCAGAAGGCTGCGAGTAAAGGTGAGATTAAGTAATGGTATCTGACCTGTCTTAACTGAATGTTCAGACTTTGTCAGAGATTATTAATTCAGAAGAGACTTTGTATTGCAACAGGCCAGTGTGCTAAAGTGACCCAGTCAGCTGGACAGAAGTCAGATAAAGAGAGTAAAGGGGTAAGATCTTCTCCATGAGTTCTCCGAGATCCAGCCTCTTTGCTGCTTCACTCATCCTCTCATTGTCTTTGACAATTTTTCTTCCCTTTTTTTCCCATACAGCAGGAGACCGGCCCATCCCGAAAGAGAAAGTCAAGCACCTCTCTTTCGGATGTAGAGGGTACATATTGCAATTAAATATAGTTGCCTTAACGTTCTTTGTGTGCATGCTGTTGATTGCTCCGTTGTTTTTTTGCAGTTGAAGATGAGGAAAGTACAATAGAGGAGCAGGAGGCGATGGAGGTGGCAGCTGATCAGAAAGCAGAGCTGGCCGAACTAACAAAAGAAGGTAAGTTTTAGGGCTGAACGATTAATTGCATTTGCGATAATATAGAGGCTGCGATTTACACTCGGTCACATGACACGCGCAAAAAAAAGAGGTGTGTCTGACTTGAAGATCGATCGGTGTGTGACATCAAAGTAAGGCAAGAGAAAGCATAAGGAGACGTCCGCTCTCTTATAGCTCTCGCAGTACTTTGATGACACACACCGATCGGTCTAAGTAGCACTGCTTCAAGTCAAACACATCTAAGCAGTCTTCAG